TTGTGTGTGTGTGTGTGTGTGTGTGTGTGTGTGTGTGTGTGTGTGTGTGTTATGCAGACATGCACACCATGGTGCATGGTGCTTGTCTGGAGGTCATTGAACAATTTTTGGAAGTCGGTTCTTTCCTTTCTTCATAGATTCCAGGTATTAATCCCAAGACATCAGGTTTGCATGGCAAATGCCTTTACCTGCTGACACATCTCACCCGCCCAGATTTGATAGGATTTTAATATTCCTTCCTTTGTTTCTTCTTTCTTCCCTTTCTCACTCTTAGGGGTTTTTTGTTTGTTTGTTTAGTTGGTTGGTTTTGTCACAGTATTTTGCTCAGTAACCCAGCTTGGCCTCTAACACTTTTCAATTCTCCTGCCTCAGTCTTTGAAGTGCTCTAGAGCACTTTGAAGTGCTCTAGAGGCATGAGCTACCACACCCAGCCAAAATGTATTCTTAAATATGCTTATAATATCTAGAAATACTGATAGTGTAAAAACTATCCAATGATGTAAGCCTCTTGGCCACACACCCAACCACATACCAGCTGTCTTTCTTTACAAAGCTAACCGTGGGACTTAAGTTTGGTTTATATGCCTGTAAACCTTCTGCATCAATCTCTGTGTATGCAAGTAAGTATGGATAAAAAAATACATTAAAAGTAGCAGGTGTTATTATGTGCATATATTCTTGTACTTTTTATTTGTAATATTTTAGATTCTCTGCATAGATGTGCTTCATTCTCAACTTCTGTGAACTACTCAAGAGGAATAGTCTATTGTATTGTTTTCTTCCTCTTTTTTTTTAAAGATTTTATTTATTTATTTATTATGTATACAACATTCTGCTTCCATGTGTATCTGCACACCAGAAGAGGGCACCAGGTCTCATAACGGATGGTTATGAGCCACCATGTGGTTGCTGGGAATTGAACTCAGGACCTCTGGAAGAGCAGTCAGTGCTCTTAACCTCTGAGCCATCTCTCCAGCCCGTTTTCTTCCTCTTTGAAAAACATTTTTGTATACTGTTCCTTGCCTCAGTGGACAGACATTGTAGCCTTTTTCTTGATTACATGATATTGCCTTCCAAAATATATGATGCCAGCCCATTGTGTGTTACAGTTTACGCTGTTGACTTCTTGCTCTCTCTTCAAATATTCTCTGCTCTTGACATGTGTGATTATGTTTTCTTGGTTTCCTCCTTACTTGCAGTTGTAGCTTCTCTGTATTTTTCTTAATTTTTACTTAGCTCAGCTCACAAAATGTTGTGTTTCTTTAAGTTGCTAATATCATTTTACTGCATGATGGGTTCAAATGATGTAAAGTGCTGTATTTCAAATACATATCTAAATTGAGATTTCTCCCTAGTCTTGGACTTATTTACTCAGTAGCCTACCAGAGATCTCTAGACATGTATGTCTCAAATAGTTAAGTTAAAACTCTAATTTCTAATTTCTAATGCTTTATTAGACCCACTGCCCAAATCAACAAAATAAAAAACAAAAACAAAGCCTTATCAATCTCCCCGTTTTCTTTCTTCGTAAATAACATGCCAATGTCTTTGCCTAAGTCAGAAAGCCATTGTCCCTTTCTCCCACATCCAATCAATCACTAAGACGTTTCTGTTGTAACTGTTAGGTGTCTGTCAGCTCCATCCAGTTCTCTCAGTTCTTCCCAGCCTAAACTAGATGCCAGCAGTATCTTGTCACTGAAATGATTTCAGCTGGCCTCTGATAGGTCTGCAGCTGTGAGCTGTAGCACTTCCTTCTTCAGGGTGAAGCCAAAGCAATACATCTGAAATGTAAATCGGAACCCTCATTATCCTGGTGGGGTTTTAGTGCTTCCTCCTTAGCAGAAAGCTTTCCAGCTCTTTAACCTAATAGTCAAGGCCACTCTTCAACCTGACTCACTCTTCCTTCATTATTCTTCCCCATCTTAAGACTCTCCATGTCTGTGTATTTCAAGGGAACGGCACCTCACACAGTCCCTGTAGTTTTCAGGTCCGAGGCCAATGCACTTCCTCTTTGTTTTGCTTTAGAGTTCTAAATCATTCTAGCCTTCTCTTCTGACTGTTGGTTCTTCAGGAATCAGCTTGAACCTGTTATTGAAGCCTTAATTGTGATATTTTAATGACTTCTTTACCTTTATTAAAAGGGTGAGCCAGGCAGTGAAATCAGCTTTGCTAGTCCTTTATTGAAGCTTTAATTGTGATATTTTAATGACATCTTTACCTTTATTAAAAAGGTGAGCCAGGCAGTGATGAACACATGCTTTTAATCCCAGCATTTGGGATGCAGGGGCAGGTGAATCTCTGTGTTCGAGGCCAGCCTGGTCTACAGAGTGAGTTCCAGGACTGGAGGAGTTACACAGAGAAACCCTGTCTCAAAAAACCAAAATAAATAAATAAATAAATAAATAAATAAATAAATAAATAAAAGGTGTGTGCGTGACTAGACATTTGCCTGTTTTTATCTTTCACCAAGAGAAAATATGAGAATAGATGCTTATGCTTATTCCTTATTCTTTATGTAAGTTATATCCCAACCGAAGTTTCCACTCCTCCCAGACCCTACACACACACACACACACACACACACACACACCTTGTCCTCCAGATCCTCTCTTTCCCTTAAAAACAAAACAAAACAAAAACCAGGCTTCCCAGGGATATCAACTTAACATGGCATAACAAATTATAATAAGGCTAGGTACAAACCCTTATATCAAGAATGGATGTGGCAACCCAGTAAGAGGAAAAGGGTCCCAAGCACAGAAAAAAAAAAAAAAAAAGAAAGAAAGAAAAAGAAAAAAATGGCAGAGATACCCCCCACTCTCACTATTAGGAATCCCACAATAATACCAAGCTGTACAACCATAATGTACATGCAGAGGATCTAGCTAGACCCACACATGGCCTGTGATTTCGATTCAGTCTCTGTGGGCACCTATGAGCCCTGCTAGTTGATTCTGTGGATCCGAGAGAAATTTTTATTCTCAATGTAGTGCCAGACAAATAAAGGAACTCAGTAAATAATTGTTTTAAAAACAGTAAATTCCAAAGCCTAATATTTGGAATACAGAGTTATAATTATTTTGGACAAGGTTAATCTGATCAGAATAATCTTGTAATTATTATTGTGCTGCAAGATAATTAGGCATAAATGTAAAGGAGTTTACATAATATATCTTGATATTTTAGCTTTTATATAGACAAAGCATGCTTTTGGGTTGACTTTGTTTTTTTCCTTGTACTAAGTTTTCTTTAAGATCCAGTAGCATTTCAGTCATTATGAAGATCAGCACATACTTCCACCCCTTAGGACTGAAGAGCTGAAGCTGTTCCTTAGTAGGTCCTCCACTCTTCTATCTCCTTAACTCGCTGCAAAACATGACGTAGGTTTAAGTAGACTGACAGGGCACCATCTCACTGTCAGTCACAATTGGTGTCTGTTTCCATGTCATCATATGTAACTGAGAAAGGCCATTCCTGCAGCTGTCCTCCGTCCTCTCCCATGAGCAGTGAGCCTGCAAGCCTTGCCTCTGACCCCCAGGCTGCTCTGGAGGTAGAGTGACTAGAAGAGGCTGAAATTGGTATCTTGCTAAGTGATAATGATGAAAAGGGCAGAGAGTCAAATGCATAAGCTGTAGACACGTGGGGTAATAAAGATCCGATTTCCTGATACACACAAGTCATGGGGTTAAAAAGATAAAGCATACCAAACAATCTGTCCTTATCTGCCTTTCTCCACTTCAGGAAAGAAAAGGACTACAGTAATTTTTAAAATCAGAGACACCACTATCATTTACAAAGAAGTTTCTTTGGCCAGTGTTCTTAATTTCCCTTGCATACACATATTTTTTTTTCAAGAAAAGGTATAATCATTTTATTCTGTAATGTGAGATAAATGGATTTATATGCAATTTACAAAAGAGTAAATTTGTAAGTTTTAGCTGGACTGTAAAGGATTGATAGATCCTTGCAAAGAGCAGTTAGGAAAAAGGCAGGTTATGTTGTCTGGCCTGATACATGCCAAAGGATGGAACTAAGAAAGGAGAGAAGCAGTGGGTGCAGACTTGTGCCCCAGGCTGTGAGTTCAGCACTTGCAGGGGCTGAAGCAGGAGGATCTTTCTAGTTCAGGCCATCCGTGACCTTCCCTTTTTTAAATGATTCCTTAGATAGGTAATCTTCATAGGGTTTAAAAATTTAGCTTTTGCACTGAGCCATACTCCTGGAATTCATTGTAGAGAGGGAGGAGGGATGAGCAAAGGATTCAAGACCTTGCTGGAGAAACACACAGAACCAGCTGACCTGACCTAGTGAAGGCACATGGACCCCAGATGTAAACCT